GTTGTAATTCTAATACTTTTATCATTTGTATAGACATGTTTTTACATATTATTTTTGTCATAAAAAAACACGAAATGAACATGAACCTACAGCGGGTCAATTAGTTCTTCAAATGTTACCTTTAAGTTAATTTTATAGTTTTGTGATATTAATAATGCTAATGTATTGATATTTTTCTAGTTTTGATTTAAGTTTGCTTGTTTAGCGTCGTCACAGTTGCTAGGTGACATGACGTACGTCGGGGTGGAGGGGAGGCTAGACCATCCAAATTCACAGACTGTTTTTTTCCGGTCTTCCTGCTCTACCAAGGACCCAGCCCACCGCGACCGGGGAATCTGGGTCCTCCGGAGGACCCAGCCTGTCGTTTTGGACACAGTCTGAGTCCCTCCTGGATGACTGAGCTTCTCAGCCTATCTCTAAGGGAGAGCCCAGACACCCTGCAGAGGAAACTCATTTCAGCTGCTTGGATCTGTCATCTCCTTCTTTCAGTCACTACCCAAAGCTCCTGACCATAGATGAGGGTAGGAACGGAGACCCACTGGTAAACTGAGAGCTTCACCTTCTGGCTCAGCTCTCTCTTCACCACGACAGACCGGTACAACACCCACATCACTGCAGACACAGCACCAATCCACCTGTTGATCTCCCGCTCTATTCTTCCCTCATTCATGAACAAGACCCTAAAATACTTAAACTCCTCCACTTAGGGGCGGCTGTGGTAGAGTGGTTAGGGGAGTCATCCTGGAACTGGAAGGTCACCGGTTCGATCCCGTCTGGTCGACTCAGTCGTTGTGTCCTTGGGCAAGACACCTTACCTGCCTTGCCTACTGATGGTGGCCAGAGGGTCCGGTGGCAACTGTGTATGGCAGCCCCACCTCTGTCAGTGTGCCCCAGGGCAGCTGTGGCTACAATTGTAGTTTACCATCATCAGTGTGTGAATGTGTGTGTGAGTGGGTGAATGTCTGTTAGTGTAAAGCGCTTTGAGTGTCCTGGATGGTTAGAAAGGCGCTATATGAGTGCAGTCCATTTACCATTTACCACTTGGGACAGGACCCCCTCCCCGACCCAGAGAAGGCACCCTAACCTTTTCTGGCTCAAGACCATGGTCTTGGATTTGGAGGCACTGATCCTCATCCCGGCCGCTTCACACAAGTCAGACTTACTACTGGCAATGCGGACCAAGCTCTGGCACCAGTCATACAGGGACCTAACAGCCCGTATCAATGGGCCTGGTACCTCATACTTCTGGAGTACCCCCCACAGGAGTCCCCGAGGGACACGGGCGAACACTTTCTCCACCTCCACAAAACACATGCAGACTGGTTGAACTCCCATGAATCCTCCAGGACCCTGCTGAGGGTGTAGAGCTGGTCCGCTGTTCCACGACCAGAACGAAAACTCCAYTGCTCTTCCTGAATCTGAGATTCGACTATCCRATGGACCCTCCTCTCCAGGACCCCTGAATAGACCTTACTAGGGAGGCTCAGAAGTGTGATCCCCCTATAGTTGGAACACACTTTGTGGTCCCCCTTTTTAAATAGGGGGACCACCACCACAGTCTGCCAATCCAGAGGAACTGCCCTCAATGTCCACGCGATGTTGTAGAGTCGAATCAACCAACACAACCCCACAACATCCAGAACCTTAAGGAACTCAGATCTCATCCATCCCCCGGCACCTTGCCACCAAGAAGCTTTTTAACCAACTCAGTGACCTCGGCACCAGAGATTGGAGAGTCCGACCCATGGCCCTCAGACTCTGCTTCCTCATGGAAAGACGAATCGGTAGGATTGAGGAGGTTTTAGAAGTATTCTGCCCACCGACCCACAACATCCTGAGTTGAGGTCAGCAGCACACCATCCCCACCATAAATAGTGTTGGTGGTGAACCGCTCCACCCCCCACGAGACACCGGATGGTGGACCAGAATCACCTCAAAGCCGTACAGAAGTCTTTCTCCATGGCCTCTCTGAACTCCTCCCACGCCAGAGTTTTTGCCTCAGCGACCACCCTAGCTGCAATGCACTTGGACTGCCGATACCTATCAGCTGCTTCCAGAGTCCCACAGGCCAAAAAGACCTGATAGGCCTCCTTCTTCAGCCCGACAGCATCCCTCACCGCTGGTGTCCACCAGCAGGTTCGAGGGTTGTCACCAGGCMCCGACAACCTTATGGCCACAGCTCAGGTAATCCGCTTCGACWGTGGAGGCACGGAACATGGCCCACTCGGACTCAATGTCCCCCACCTCCCCAGGAACGTGTTTGAAGTTCTCCCGGAGGTGTGAGTTGGACACTTAGGGTAATAAATTGCCAAAAGACAAAATAGTGTTTCTTAATTATTTAGTATTTAATGCATATGAGAAGAGTTCACTGAATCTTGCAATGAATCTCACACTTTGCTGATAATTTATTCATTCTTTTAGAAATCACACTCGTGTATATATATCAGAGTGAATATGATGCCTGAACTGGTGAAAACAGTAGCAGAGTGCACCCACTCACTCGCTACAATGCACACAATCTTCTTTGCATTTAACATAAGACAGGAATTATTCAATTTATTTTGTATGTGTTTGTGTCAGAGAACAGGAAGTCTAGACTCTAAGGCACTGTAAGATCAGATGTTGCTCCTAACGTCTGATGAAATCATGTCTTCTGTCTGTTTCTATCAGGGAAGAAGTTTCACGTACCATCCAAACCCTGTTCTGTTTCCTCTGAACCGGGACACTCCAGATGCTCCRTATCATTTCAAGGCTGGAGGAGTGATAGCTGTGGAGGTACCATAACTGTCACATTGTGGTCATGAGACCTAAGTGCACCTGATCTGATCCCCTGGTGTCATGTTGTCCTTCAGGGTCAGGACCTGACCAAAGCCATGTCCAAACAGGAAGTCCAGGCTCGACTTGGAGATCACGAGTGTCAGCTAAAAACTCTGGACAGTACTCATCTGTACTGCGAGCCCCCCGAGGTTCAGCCGAAGAGCGTAGACGATGGCAGCGTGCTGCCCAGCCTCAAGGTAACAAGAAGCAACAGAGATGTACACAGGAACATGCAAAATATTCCAACAATACACAAAAATACAGAAAATATACAGACACTACATTTACAAACAACGTAAAAAATACACCAAGACTTGAAAAGCCCTCTCAGCAACAAAAGGCTATGTGATAACCAAAGATCTGAAGTGTCAGTTTAAATGGGTGGGGCTAAATGTTTGAATGGTTGTCAGGGATGTTGTGGGTTAATTTAGTCATACCCACAGAATATAGCATGGACAGGTGTTCAGCACTGGACTCATGTTAATTGTTGTGGAAATATTTATTAAAAGGCAGAAACGTGAATAAAAAGAAAGTTCACTGCCTGGTTGGTCGCTGAATGATTTAATAAAAAGGTTTTGCATTCAGAAGACAAGCCGCAACGTGACCAGTCACCAGAGAAAACCAGAGCTCTGAGCCAAACCGCTGACTGAGTCAGCAGAGACAGGAAATGGTTTTCACGTACGGGTGGAGCATGGAGCAACAGAACGACAGGTTTACAGTAACTTAAAATGAGAACGAGGACACCAGACATCAGCAGGCGCCTCTAAGCCATAGGACAGATTCTGACAARTCRTAGCAGTTATCAAAGAGATACAAAATAGAAATGTCAAGGCAGTAYGAACTGAATKATCAGGCAGAGAGGTATAATTATTTYCCAGTACATTCGTCATGACAAGTGTGATGCAAGTTGGAAGAACTGTGTGAGATTTAGATCAATTTTCCATTTAGACTCATTGTGAGACAGAACTTTAGCACAATGATGTCCAGTCCTGGTCCTCGAGGGCTAGGATTGGACACCATTGCATCAGAAGGTCGTGGCAGTCCTTCCCATAAACAAAAGTCACATTTTTTAATAAATCTAATTGTTTTATGGTTTATTACTCATTTAGAAGTTGTTATGATCGATTCCAAGAGGACATCTACAAATAAATCTTGTGCTTCCTGTTGTCAGTGGGCGGAGCTAAGTCAATGACTGACTACTGTCGTATGTTGAGGACCAGATTGTGGTCAAACGAGGTGCAGATCAGAAGACMAAGCAGTCAGATGAAATTACACCAGAAGAAATATAAATAACCAGAGCTTGGTGAAAAACAAGTTGTCTCAGAAAAATAAACTGCTCTTTGAAAGTCAGAGTAGTTGAAAATGTTGTGGTTTGTAGGAACCAGGTGGTTTGTCAGAGACTAGAACCTGACCTGGTTCTACAGGACCAGTTTACAGCTCAGGCTATCTAAGGGCTCAGTCAGTGTAGGCTGAGTCTTTGCTCACTAAAGGTGTGTCTGTCTCACCTGTCTGTCTTCTCAGGTGTTCATGGGTAACCTGCAGGTGGACCTGGGACTGGTTCAGTATGACAGTGACTCCTTGCTGTCTCCCATCCCATTGGCTGCTCAGATTAGTTTGGGGGCGGGAGCAGCAGTTATTATCCTGTCGGTGCTGGTTGTCATCCTCATGTACAGGTACCTGTCTGTCTGTAGGTACCTGTTTGTCTGTAGGTACCTGTTTGTCTGTCTGTAGGTACCTGTTTGTCTGTAGGTACCTGTTTGTCTGTCTGTAGGTACCTGTT